TTATCCTGCGGGAGTTATAGGCAGCCGACTCGTATGTAGCGCACGAAAACGGGCGGCAGTAATCGGTTTACCTACAGAATGGGAGTCAAGCTGCTTTCCCTGCTTCATGTCTTCATTTGGGGACCGCAAATTCATCTTCTGCATCCTCATCTGTACCATAAGCTGTAGTTGCGCCATCATCATCATCGTCGTCATCGGCGTCGTAGTGGTAGTCGTCATCACACCACCAACAGCAACAGTAGCAGTATAATAATGGCAGTCGTCATTGACGTTTTTAACATAAGACAAAAGAGCTCCGACTATGATCTTCCGCAGCCTCCTGTACGACCTTTTAATTATTCCTTACAAACTCATTTTTATTCACTTTCGAAGGGAAACCGAAGACCGCTTTTAAAAGATGTGACCTGCTAAGTGCAGAGGATTAGTCGGCCGCAAAATTCATCAGTACACTCTTTCAAAAATACAGATCTTTGAGACGTGGGTTGAGGTGAAATGGCATTTTTACGTTCTCAGTCGGCAAAGTGGTCCGGATGATATGACGTATTCAGCAGAATATCTTTAGCGGAGCCCTGCTCTTAAAGCAAAAGGGGCTATTGAAGTTTGATCCATGACAGAGTAAAATTGCAACCTTACTAGTAGCTGTCTGGACTTATAAAAACTGACCTCTCCCTCTCCATCCTTTCTCTTTCCCTCTCCCTGCATGCTTGCTCAATCAGCTGTATTTGTTGCTGCACGCGTTCATAACTTCCGTGGGTCCACTCTTCATAGCTAAAAGTGTGACGGCAGACGAAAAAAATACTTTAGTTAGATTCAAATGGACATCATTCGAGACTTAAGACAGCAATAGAGTTGCATACATATCATGTACATATACTGACTGACCGAACTCATGAAATGATGGTTGAAATTCTGAAATGCGTTTTCGACTAGGAAGAATTACTAAGGTGGGGTTGTAATACTGATTATTTTGCGGCAAACTGCTATGAAATTTCGGACTTGGCAGGATGTCAGCCTTTGAATACACTGCTTTACAAACCGCGCAATATAGAAAGCGTACTCGGAAAAAAATACTACACAAATAGCATGCATTTTCCCATTGGTTTTCGATGGCCATGCAAACTCGAATATATCTTGTAGAAACCATAAACAAAAATATGCTTGTTTTCTGTCAATTAATAGAGAGTCATGTCATCTTTATATTTCATGCTCAAAGAAGTAGCATATTAAGGTTTTAAAAAGGGTTTTCTGATTGCCGTAAATTTGAACCATGATCAGTCGTTTAATTGGAGCTTGGTCTTTTCAGTCTACAAGGTACATGCGTTCCGCGGAAAGAAAGTAACATATTCCTATATACCTTTAAGGAGATATAACATAGAGCCCATACAATGTTGTAATGTAAGCGGGTTATGTAGTGCATTTCATGAGGAGCAGTGATAAACGGACAAGTACGAAGCCATATGAAGGGACATTGCGCGGTCTTAAAAATCTCCTTACTAGAAACCTTTTCAAAACCACATTATGCTATTTTAAGCATGTAATATAAAGATGAAGTGATTCTCTATCGAACGACTGACGAACGCCTTTTTTTGTTCGGGTTTCCATAAAATATATTTGAATTTACAAGACGTTCGAAAATCAATGGGAAAATGCATGCTACTTAAGTATTCATTTTTTTCCGAGTACGCTTTCTATATTGCGCGGTTTGTAAAGCAGTGTATTCAAAGGCTGACTTCCTGCAAAGTCCGAAATTTCATAGCAGTTTGCCGCAAAATAATCAGTATTACAACCCCACCTTAGTAATTCTTCCTAGTCGAAAACGCATTTCAGAATTTCACCCATCATTTCATGAGGTCGGTCACTCAGTGTATATGGCGTGCAGCAGGAGATGTTTTACGGGGAACTGTTCTCCCTATCACAAAGACCATTTGAATGCAAAAAGTGGAGGAGATAAGTGACATCTGAGGAATCTGCTAGTCTGAAGTCATGGAAACTTACCTTGCCTGAGCACTCTGCCCGCAATAATTTGAGGTTAGCCCTTCCTGCTTGCCCGTCTTTCTCTCCTCGCCATTGTCCTTCCGTGATCGTTCAGTCTGTTCTGACTGTTCACGGTGCCACCCTTGACTTCCACGGACCCAAACGACATCTCTGGAGCAACGGAAGTAGATGAATTAAAATGTCAGAGCATGATTACTGGGGACATTATATAGAAGTTGACAAATAAATACAGGAAATTTATACGCCAAAGTGCAGGTAAAGTTCTGACTTCAGCATATGCCAGGAAACGTAAGTACACAAGAATGATTCGCCATTCAGATTCAAATACTGTCGGTTAGAGTTCTTCCCTAGAAAACGAAACCATGTGCTATATGAAGAGGGTCTGAGCATTTTTAAAGTGCCTTCCCCCAAACCAGCTTTTCGGCATCGCCGGGAGTTTGGCAATAGTGGAGGTTTAAGTCTGGACACACTGGCGTCCAAAACAACGCTTTATACTTAATGCTTGTGTAGCAATATCCGACAGCAGTAGCAAAAGTACATCCTTCACAGAAAAGCAACAAAACGGAAAACTTTTAAATTTGAAAGTCTGCGGTCGCAGTTAACAATGACGGGTCCGCCCTCAAGAACCCTCAAGGTGCTTATCAATCCTAAATGGTAGTTTTTTGATTTAATAGGCAAACCCAGGTCTGGGAGTGCTGTAAACACCAATCTATCCATATTGTAAGACGAAATACGAGTGATAGGGTTTCGCTTAAGCGCCTACATCTGCTGTAAGTCAGAAGCAGTTTCTTCAGTGCGCTCCAATCTGTTTGCAGCACTTGTTAAGCTTGTAAAGATAGTCTCTGAAGATCGTCTGTGTGGGTTTAATAGACTGAGCTCGAACACAAAGACGAATTCATTGTATTCTGTCCAGAATTCAGGAAAACGTGATGTGCAATTTTAATGCACATACCTGTTAACCACAGTCGACTTCGCTGGAGAGGCTGATGCTGATGCTGCTGCTGCTGTGGCAACGGCCTGACCTGAGGGCGAACAGCATCCAGGCGCAGTTGACGGCGTCATGCATGACGGCTTTGACGATGGCGTTGCGCTACTTACAAAAGTAAACAGGGAAATGTAAGAAAAGTAGGCAAACAGCCGTCCATCATAAAGTAATGAGTGTTGCCAACCAGCGCAGAGGTAAGTTGTCTGTCCAATACAACGAGGCGGGTCGGTGGCAACAGCAGAGCGCTGTAATAAATGCTCACAGGAGAACTTCTTATTATAATTCAGTATATGTTGAAGGCAGAGGCGTTCTTTGGGAAAAGGTTCTTTATTGCGTTAATTTTCGACGCCGGTTCCCCAGGTCGTCGTCAGACGCAGACTGAAAGTAAATGTGCCGAAAACAGTTAACATCTGGCAGTGCACATGAAAAAATCGATAATCGTTCGCATTTGCGCCCGTGAGCGGCCGCTATTTGCGTCATTCCGTCCCGATTGGCTCTCGTCTCTTCCATTTCTCCTTGAGACTTTTGTACGCGGCGTCCAACTCGATGTGACGGTTGATGCACGATTCATCCGAGTGCATGGCCTCAAGGAACTCTCGGCCTTTCTTGAAGGGGCAGGCACCGACAATCCGTGTTCTGTCCCAAGCAAACGTATGCCCGGTGTCCAAGCTATGCATGGCTACTTGAGACAGGTGGTCTCGCCTCTTTACTGCAAGTTGGTGTTCGTGAATGCGTGTAGAGGCGGATTTTCCTGTTTGACCACAATAAACTGCATCACAGGCCTCACATGGGATCTTGTAGACGACTTCCTTTCTATCCAAATAGTCGACCCTATCCTTAGGATGTACTATCTGAGTACGTAGTGTAGTCGTCGGTCTGTGTGCCACCCGAATCTGGTGTCTCTTTAGGTGCCTTTCCACGAGTTCAGACACGTTTTTGATGTAAGGGAGGGTTCGCCATGTATTTGGCTCCGGTGTCTGACTGGAGGTTCTTTGTTCCCTTTCCTTTGACTCTTTCTGTCTCATGCATCGGCGCACAAAATCCTTGGGGTACCCATTTCGGGAAAATAATTCACACAAGTAACTTAGTTCGGCTCGGTAGCCTTCTTCGTCCGAGCAGTGTGTTTTTGCCCGATTAAGCAGACAGTTGACCGTGCTCCGTTTGTGGGAAATGGGGTGGTTGCTCTCGTAGTGTAGAATGATTTCCGCATAGGTTTCTTTGCGGTACACTGATGTGCGCAATGTCCCGTCGGTCTTCCGCTGCACGAGAACATCCAAAAATGGGAGTTCTTTGTCAACTTCTTTCTCGAGTGTGAATTTAATCCCCGGCATTGTTGAGTTAATGATGTTGTGGAGCGTTTCTAGTTGATCCTTTTTAACGATCACAAATGTGTCGTCCACGTACCGCAGCCACAATTTAGGGTTAACTAACGGAAGAGCCGTGGCCTCCAATTTCTGCATTGTGATCTCGGCGAGGAAGCCAGAGATAGGTGACCCCATTGGGGCTCCTTTCAGTTGTTGGTAGTATTGTTGGTCGAACGAAAAATTGGTTTCCATACACAGGTCTAAGAGTTCGAGTAAGGCAATAGCAGGAACATCCGTGTCGCAGGACTTCAGGCGATCCTCTGTGCATTGTTTTGCCAAATCCAACGGTATGGACGTGAAGAGGGAGACGACATCAAAGGACACCATCATCTCGTCGGGGGAAACTGTGATTCCTTTTATTTTCCTTAGAAACTCTGTAGAGTTCTTAATCGACGTTTCACAATTCCTAGTGAGTGGATGAAGTTTGTGGAAGAGCCACTTTGCAATTTTGTAGTTAGGTGTCCCGATCAACGATACTATCGGTCGTAAAAGCACCTCAGCTTTGTGGACTTTGGGTAGTCCATAGATCCTAGCAATGGTGGGTTCAGTTTGCTTCAGGTATTTAGCAATTTCCCCCGACAGTTGTTTTTTCCCGGTGAGGCGCTTCAACACTTTATCAATAGAAGAGATCTGTGCTTTGGTAGGATCCGCGGGAAGTGGTTTATAAGTTGATCCATCTTCCAACAATGATAGCATCTTTGCATTATAGTCTGCTTTGTTCAAAATCGCAACGGAGCCACCTTTGTCGGCTGGGAGAACGATAATATTTCGGGTGGCACACAGACCGACGACTACACTACGTACTCAGATAGTACATCCTAAGGATAGGGTCGACTATTTGGATAGAAAGGAAGTCGTCTACAAGATCCCATGTGAGGCCTGTGATGCAGTTTATTGTGGTCAAACAGGAAAATCCGCCTCTACACGCATTCACGAACACCAACTTGCAGTAAAGAGGCGAGACCACCTGTCTCAAGTAGCCATGCATAGCTTGGACACCGGGCATACGTTTGCTTGGGACAGAACACGGATTGTCGGTGCCTGCCCCTTCAAGAAAGGCCGAGAGTTCCTTGAGGCCATGCACTCGGATGAATCGTGCATCAACCGTCACATCGAGTTGGACGCCGCGTACAAAAGTCTCAAGGAGAAATGGAAGAGACGAGAGCCAATCGGGACGGAATGACGCAAATAGCGGCCGCTCACGGGCGCAAATGCGAACGATTATCGATTTTTTCATGTGCACTGCCAGATGTTAACTGTTTTCGGCACATTTACTTTCAGTCTGCGTCTGACGACGACCTGGGGAACCGGCGTCGAAAATTCACGCAATAAAGAACCTTTTTCCCAAAGAACGTCTCTGCCTTCAACTTTTATTTCTTGGGATGCCTTCCTTCCAATACATACGTATGAATTACGACCGCATAGTTTTGCTTGAAGCCAGACGGTGGGAGAAATGTGCAATTCGCGAAAGTCTTACGCGAGAACAGTTATCATTCCTACACAGATGCCGAAGCTGGAAAATTTTGCCAAAATCCCTG